AGTCCCAGGAGCAACTTTCACCACAACATCAACTCCCTTAGCACCACTCTGCATCTTCCCTCTCCCATGCTCCCCACGCCCCGCCCTGAAATGCACACTCTTCCTAAACGGCAACAACGAGTTCATAGACCCATCAACTTCCACATACACATTCCCTCCTCTCCCTCCGTCTCCACCTGAAGGCCCTCCGAAAGGAACAAACTTTTCTCGTCTAAACGCCACAACACCATTCCCTCCATCTCCTGCCTTAACGAATATCTTCGCTCTGTCGAAACAACGCATCACTGCAGGAACTCCTTTCTCCTTAACCCCGATCTCCTCCTCCTCCTTCTCCTCATCCTCTTCCACTTCACCAGAGAAACACACTGCTTCTCCATCCTTCAACCCAGCTTCATCATCACCATACTCAAACACTTCATCTTCATCTTCATCAACTAATCCAGAACTTCCTTCAAACACATCTAATCTTCTATAATTCCCCCAAATATCCTCATCATCATACTCCTTCACCTCTCTATCCCCACCTTCTTCATTATTCTCCTCCAAAGTCTCAACCTTTTCCTCAACCCCAGCGACATTTGACTCTGATAACTTCACTTCCTCTGAGAGCTTCAGATAAGAAGAAGACAGGAGAGATATATCAGAGAAATCTTCTCTCGGAGGAAGCCGCGTGTAAGTAGTGGCTTCACCTCCAGCATCAGGTCTATCACCGCCACGAGATTTAAGCTCGAGTTCGCGTTGGAGGTTGGCTTTTCTAAGGTTGGAGACTTTGCTAGGCTTAGCGTAGGAGATCTTCTTCTTCGTTGTTCTGTTGGGACGAGATAGAGCTTGTGGAGGAGTGAAGAAACAGCTTATGGATATGGAAGCCATTTTTTTCGTCTCTCTGGCAAAATGATTTTAACGGGGCTTTATGGGATTATTATCATTACACAAACAAACCGTACTAAATTTTAGATTTTTTTAAAAGTAATAGGGGTTTAATGTAAATTACTATGAAAACAGAGGACTTGTGTTTGAAAAAGTGAGAAACTTTGGTTAGCTTTGAAGCTTTGGATCTCGAAGAACAGAGTTTTTGAAAGAGGGGATAGAGAAGGCTGCTTGCTTGCTTGCTCTACGGTTTCTGCTCAGCTCTCAGCGGGTTTGATCTCTCTTTGCTTCAATGTATAGCGGATCTAGCGATGGGGAGAGCCACGACACACCGACGACGCAGAGGAAGATCCCTCCGGCGTCTTCAATGCTTTGGGTTAGAAACTTACGTCGGTACATTGGCTCAGGCGCCGGATTAGGATCCGAAGCTCTAATGGGTATGTCTTAAAGTTGTTCTCTTTCATTTTCCCGTAAGAAAGTCTGAACCTTTTAATCGCATTTCGAGTTTGTTGTGTTTCGAAATTGAGAAAGTTTCTGAATTTAGGGTCTCCTGGAGAAAGTGTAGCTCTGTTTACGTGTGTTTAAACACTATATTTAATGATGAGAGAGTCTTGGTTTTGCAGAGCTTGAAACGAAGAGAATCTTGCTGGAGATTTTCAAAGACAAGCAGCAGAAAAGCCAAGAAGCTGGCACCATACCGAGTTTCTATAAGAAGGTATGTCCCTTACTCTATAAGATAATTGCTGTTTGCATTTTACTCGGTTTAAACTTGTCCATTTTGTTAGAGTTGAGTTTCATTTGGTGGTTTGTGTTATACGATTCCTTTGCTCTTTGTTCAGAAACCAGAAGAAGGGTCTATTAGTGGAAGGGTCCAGAGGCTTGCTAAGTACCGCTTCTTGAAGGTAGAGAGATTCTTCACCGCATCCTATTATTTTAACAGAAGAAGTTTAATGTTTTGGCTCACTTCAGTATGTTGATTATTTCTCACAGAAACAATCAGATCTTTTGTTGAATTCTGATGATTTGGCTGCTATGTGGAATTGTTTGAGAGAAAATTGTGTGATTGATGATGCCACTGGTGCTGAAAAGGTACATGCATTAAAGTTTGCTCCAGAGCTGAAATTATGATTATCTGCGTTAACAATGATTCTGATATTTTACTAAATATTTGTCCATATATAGATGAACTATGAAGACTTCTGCCACATTGCCTCTGTATGTACTGAACAAATCGGCCCCAAATGTCGTCGGTTTTTCAGCCCATCCAATTTCATGAAGTTTGAGAAGGATGAGGCTGGAAGGATTGCTATTTTACCTTTCTATCTTTATGTCATGCGCACGGTGGGTATCCTCATTTTTTCTTCTTTATCATAGCTGAATCTCATCATGTTGCCATAAGCTAAATAAAGAGATTTTGGTTACTGTGTTTGAGTGGTACCAGCTTCGGTAGTTTTTATAGTTTACGCTTGTTTTAATATCTTTGGTTCATTGCTGTTTAGGTGTCGCTTACACAAGCTAGGATTGATATGAGTGAGCTTGATGAAGACTCTGATGGTTTCCTTCAGTCTCATGTAAGTACTCAAGTGGCTCTAAAGCTCTAAGTTCAGAATTTCCCCAAGAAGCTTTAAGGATTCTCCTACCAGCAAATGATGCTGACTCTAACCGTAGATTCCTTTCAAAACTTGCTGTTATTACAGGAAATGGAGTCGTATATTCTTGGTCTAATCCCTAATTTAGCACAATTAAGGGACATGCCGGAGCCCTTTACTCAAATGTATTGCCGCATAGCTTCGCAGAAGTTTTTCTTCTTCTGTGATCCCCATAGGCGAGGTAAGCACTAAAGATAATATAATTATGAGACGAACGAGACATTTGCTTAATCTAATTATGTGTTACACATGTTATCACAGGAAAAGCTTGTATTAAGAAGATACTGCTCAGTAACTGTCTCCAGGAATTAATGGAACTGCATCAGGTCAGTTTAGATGAAGGATTAGTGAATAGACAGCTCTGTGATCCTTTACTTTGCTAGCATTTACTGATTGTTCCGTTCCCCTGGTACGCTATGTTAGGAAACTGAAGAGGAAGTCACAGACACAGAACAGGCTGAAAATTGGTTCTCTTTGACTTCAGCTCAACGTATATGTGGTGTGTGTGATATAATAATTGTCTTAATACCTCCAGATAAACTAGAAACTACTCAAATTGATTTAGAGTATCTCTCTCTTCTGTAGATATGTTTCTTGCACTTGATAAAGATTGTAGTGGATCGCTGAGCAAACAAGAACTTAAAGAATACGCGGATGGGACCCTAACTGAAATTTTCATTGAAAGAGGTAAAAACTAAATACTCTTTGGTCATTTTGTGCTTTTCATGGTATTGATAGTCACCAAATAGTGATCTGAGACAAGCTGAACTTTTGTTCTAGAAGTAGAGGGTATCCCCTTCATCATATTCCTTTGCTGTTTTGTAGTGTTTGATGAGCATGTCCGCCGTGGCAAAAGCGGCTCAGGCAATTCCCGGGAGATGGACTTTGACAGCTTCTTAGATTTTGTTCTTGCTTTGGAGAACAAAGACACTCAAGAGGGCTTGACATACTTGTTCCGCTGTCTTGATCTCCAAGGGAGAGGCTTTCTCACCACTGCTGATATTCACTCTCTTTTCAGGTAATAATGAGTTTCTATCAAGTAATTGAATCTGTTTGTTTTTTTTCTTTGGAAATTTATGTCTCAGTTCTCCATCTGTTTGAACTTGCAGAGATGTTCACCAGAAATGGATAGAAGGTGGGAACTATGAGCTGTGCATAGAGGACGTTAGGGACGAGATCTGGGACATGGTGAAACCGTCTGACCCATTGAAGATCACTCTGGATGATCTCTTGGGATGTAAACAAGGTGGAACTGTTGCGAGCATGTTGATAGATGTGCGTGGCTTCTGGGCTCATGACAACCGTGAGAACCTTCTTCAAGAAGAAGAAGAACCACCTGAGGAAGAGTCACAGTGATAATGTCATTAGTTGATGACGTTTTAATTAACTGTGAAATGGCTGTTTATATTGTCACTTGTTTTCTTGTGCTTGGAATCTGATTTGATTATTGTAATTTCTGAATTTCGTTTTACATTAATACACAAAACGTAGAGAGGGTTTTCATTTGTCTATTGAGGATTACAAAGTGGTCTCTTCAGCCAAGTAACAAGTGTGTGACCACCAAACATCCTACTTGTTTAAAACTACATCGTTTAAGTCGAAACTACTCTAACTCTATTTATTTGATGTCTAGCAACATTGCTCCTAGAGCATAATATATAAAAATTTGAAAGTTATCAAAACTGATAAAAATAATTTCTAACTATTAGAGTTTTATGTGTTACTCACATATATGAAAGTTTTTTTTCAAAAAAATAAATTTAGGGCTTCAAAATTACATTATAGTGTCCCCCACTCTCACTTGAGCGCGTGAATGACACAGCCTCACCTTTCATGAATATCCTACTTTGACATTTCGATATTTATTGAAAAACCGGGGGAGTGAGCCCAAAACGACTTGAAATCTTAACCGTTCTCTATACCGCTGGTTTATAGTAAATGATTACGGTTATGATAATCCGGTTTAGTTACTGTGTCAGAGAAATTGAAAACCAGAACCGTTCGTCTCCTCCTACCTCAATCAACAACAATCAATGTCTTCGTCTTCACTCTATAAAAATTCCTTCCCGCCTTGGACTTTAGTTTGTACTAATAGGCCAAATAGGCCCATGGGCTCAACAGTAACTACCAGACAAAAAAAAAGGGTCAAATGAACATAATAAAGAGGCAAACACGCTAGTAACCCCTTTGCGTATAAAGGAGAATTTAAATTATATAATAAAAAAAGATTCGTATTTCTTCGCACGTTTCTTCCTCCATTCACCTTCTTCTTCTTCTCTTTCGCGAATCGTCGTTATCGCAAGATCACGCTCGCTTCGATACAATATAATATCAGTCGTCGTCGTCAAATAAGTAAGCTCTCGTTCTCTTGCTTTGCTTCTCGGTTTTTTTTTTTTTAAATTCATGCTTATTTTCTTCCTTAATTTATCTCAATTTTTTCCCCTGATTTTGAATTTGTGAATGTTGACATTCTTGGCACAGAAAATGGGACTAAGGAGATTGGTGTTCTTGCTGGCGATTTCGTCTTTTCTCCTCTCTGTTTCAAGTGGAAGTGGTGGTAATGAAACATTTCTATAATGATTCTTTTGCCTCTTTTATTTTTGGTAACCTTTTAGTTTTCGTTTTCAGTGTAATTATAGTTTCTTTATATGTGACCGAGCTACAATACAATGTAAGTAATGTAATTATGCAAGGTTTCATTAAGAGCTAATTACATGCTCAAGTAATGTTACTAGGTGTAATGATAGTTGCTTTATATATGATCTAGCTACATACAGTTCTCATTTAGTATCAGATGCTTCATGAAGATATTAAAGCATTGATTTCAAAGGATTTATGAATACACACATTCTTTTATGTACTTAGTTTGTGAGCTGTGAGGCAATAGATGGTTCAAGAGTGTGAATTGTATAGTGAGTTATTTCTTGTATTTGCAGTTCTCAAGTTGAAGAGCGATGATGGTCGACTTCATTACAACCATACTCTTACCCTTACACTTGTGGAGTATGCTTCTGCGGTAAGCTATTATGGCACAGATACTACAGTCATCAAATAGACCTGTTTGCACTTTGCATTATTCCTCTACAGAATGCATCATATTAATCTCTAAGAATAGAAGCTAGGAACTAGATGAGAAACACTTTTCCTCATGATTTCATTTATCCTTGTCAGCACTGTTGTTTAGCATTTACCACAGAAGAGAAATTTTGCTGATGATGATTGGGTAAATCAAGTATATATATTTATGCAGGTCTATATGTCTGATTTGTCAGAACTCTTCAATTGGACGTGCAAGAGATGCAATGGTTTCACAAAGGTATAAAAAATGTTGAGGCAAAATCACTGTTTGAAGCCACACTATATCAAAATCTAATAGCTCCGGTTGGATGGTACAGGGTTTCGAAGTAATAGAGATAATATTTGACGTTGAGCACTGCTTACAGGTCTGCCTATCATAACCTACATCAGGACACAATGTCTTTCACTGATCAACTATTAATATCATTACGTGTTACTTGTAACCAACAGGCATATGTTGGGGTGGCAAAGAATTTGAATGCTATCGTTATTGCATTCCGGGGAACTCAACAACACAGGTATCGTTCTAGTCATTGTAATCTTTAATGTACACCTTTTGCCTAAACTTGGTTCATTGCTTTATCAACCCAAAACTTGTGCAGCATACAAAATTGGGTCTCAGACTTGTTCTGGAAACAGCTCGATCTAAATTACCCTGACATGTCAGATGCAATGGTACCTTTTAACTTCAATTTTTTGCCATTGAGACTTTCTATGTAGTAAAGTGGAAATTTTAATAGTGGTCTACATTGGCAGGTTCACCATGGATTTTACAGTGCTTATCATAATACAACTGTACGGCCCGCAGTGTTGAGTGCGGTACAACGAGCAAAGAAATCCTATGGTCCGAACATCAACATCATGGTGACTGGTCATTCAATGGGAGGAGCCATGGCTACCTTTTGTGGGCTAGACCTAGTAGTAACCATCCTTGACTTAAGCTGACTTTTGTTATATAAGTTATGGTTCTGTCCTTTGAAGTTATTAATTGACTTTAGATGTAAATTCGTAGGTAAATGTAGGAGAGGAAAAGGTACAGGTCATGACATTTGGGCAACCTCGTGTTGGAAATGCAGCTTTTGCATCTTATTACAGTTTGCTTGTGCCTAAAACCTTCCGGATCACGCATGGCCATGATGTTGTTCCTCATCTGCCTCCTTTCTATAATCATTTTCCTCAAAAAACATACCACCACTTCCCAACAGAGGTAAAAAAAAAAAAAACTTAAAGCTATTTAATGCAAAAAATGTGGACTACTCGAGTGATATTTCCAATGTCTTTGAGTGTAACTTCTCTGATTGGTTTAGAAACTGTGTTGAAGAACCGATGAATGATGTAATGGTGTGTGTTCGCTTTGCAGGTGTGGCTAAGAGATGCCAGTTCTTCGAATCTTGGTAGTGTGGAAAAAGTTTGTGACCACACCGGTGAAGATCCTACATGCAGCAGGTAACTAACTATCAATCCCTCTAAAACAAGTTAGTGACTCCGCAATAAACAACCTACACTAGCAAGAACAAACCCGCAAAGAGAACAGTTTTTTTTCAGGAATCATTACAACAAGTCTTATGTGTCATGTTTTTTTTTTTTTTGGGTCAAATCTTATGTGTCATGGTTTAGCTAGTTACCAGACATTTATTACACGATTCCAGTGTATAACCGTTGGTTGCTTGTTGTTTCAGATCGGTGAAGGGCAATAGCATATCTGACCATCTAAGGTACTTTGGAGTAGAGTTGCATTGTGAGGCTTGGAGGCAATGCTCAATAGTGATGAGCCATGAGATGGATAGATTCAGCAAGAAAGATTCAAAGGGTAACCTAATCATGTCGAGGACTCTTCCTTCCACGAACGGTAACAAAACAAATACTCTTATCGAAAATGGGGAGCTTTAGTCTATAGGAATCGGTTTGATTCAAGTCTTTGGTCAACCAAAAGCTTGCTTGGGAGGAGATTCAGGTGTGGAGAAAGAAGAACGGTTCTGTGATTCATTGTGTTCTTGAAAGAAAGAAAGAAAGAAAGAAAGAAAGAAAGAAAGAAAGTGTATAGATAACATATAATCAAGACTTCGTATATAAGTCGTAGGTTGATGATAGCATGTAGCAGAAAAAAATTTGAAAAACCAAATTACATTTTTTTTTATATACTGACCACATTGATGTTGGATTCAAATATGCAAAAATTTAAATGGGATGTTGTATGAAATAGCTTTTATTTTAAAGTTCATAATTAGAGTAAAACCCCTATATATTAATACTCAATAAATTAATATACACTAAATATCTCTATAAAATAATATAATTTTATAGTTCCAATTTAATTTTTTTAATTCAATTATTATATTAATAAATTAATAAAAAAATAAAATTTTGATGCAGTCTCAATATTATTAATTTATAAAAATTTCACTCTATATTAAAAATCATGTGTTTGTTTTAATTTGTGGCTTTACATGATTACAAACCCACTGGAGGACAAAGAGTCTTTGTAGAGTCTGGAAGCTGCTTGCATTGACCATTTAGTTCCGATAATACCCTTAATATAAACCAACACGAGTCTCTTCTTCGTTGTTGCGTGTCAAGGACGAAATTGGAAATTAGAAGAAAAAAAACGAATATTCCTATTTCATTGCAGTTTCTTCTTTGCATATAAATATTAAAAAGCCGAGATTATCCAAAATCTATATCCAACAGTGTCTTGAATTTAAGGATTTGGTTTGCTTGCTTAGATCTTCAGTTTCTGTCTGGTTTGTCCTTCAACTTGCTTTGATTAGCTCAAGATTAATCTTATTATTGGTTGATTAACAGAAAGGTTATGTGGTTGTGTTTATTGCCATCTTCTTGCAGAAGAATATGGAACAGAAGAGATGGTTCTTGCTCTTGCTAGCAATAATTGCATGTCTTCTTTTCTTTTCAGATGGAAAAGGTAATAAATGGAACTTCTGTTTCCTTTTTAATTATGTCTCTCTTTCCTTTCTGGGAATTTCAGTTTTCAACTCTCTTTCTCTCTTTGCCTGATTAAGATAAGGTGTGACCTTCTCTCTTCTTGTTGCAGTTCTCAAATTGAAGAGTGATGATGGTCGACCTGTTTACAACCATACACTTGCCTTAACACTTGTGGAGTATACTTCTGCTGTAAGCTGATACCAAATCACTACATTATATATTTTACCAAAAAAAAAAATGTTTCATATATCGTTACTAGCTAGCACTATTAGAGAATGCTAGGTGGATGAATCAAGTTTATTTGTGCACACAGGTCTATATGTCTGATTTGGCACAACTCTTTACTTGGACCTGCGAAAGATGCAATGGTTTGACAAAGGTATAACATATCATTTGTTTAAAGCCACAGTATATATAAAAGGCTAGTAGCTTTAATTGTGTGTCCTAATATGGTGCAGGGTTTCCAAGTCATTGAGATCATAGTTGACATTGAGCACTGCCTACAGGTTTACCTTTATGCTTTATGGAGACATACTTTTCTTCTGTAGATATCAGTTCATTTAACTTGTAAATCAACAGGCATATGTTGGGGTGGCAAAGGATTTGAATGCTATTGTTATTGCATTCCGGGGAACTCAAGAACACAGGTATCATTCTTGAGCTACACCTTTTGTCTAAACTTGGTTTGATACTTAATCAAACCCCAAAACATGTGTATGCAGCATACAAAATTGGATCTCAGACTTGTTCTGGAAACAGCTTGATCTGAATTACCCTGATATGCCAGATGCAATGGTACGCTTTTAAACCAACAAGTTTTTTTAAAAATCTGGACTGTCATGTTGTGTATAATGGTCCTACACTGGCAGGTTCACCATGGCTTTTATAGTGCTTATCACAATACAACAGTACGACCTGCAGTTTTGGGTGCAGTAAAACGGGCGAAGAAACTCTATGGGGAGAACATCAACATCATGGTGACTGGTCATTCAATGGGAGGAGCCATGGCTGCCTTTTGTGGGCTAGACCTAGTTGTATGTAACCATCCTTGACTTAAACTAACTTTGTTATATATGTTATGGTTATGTTCTCTGAAGTTGTTTCATTCACTTCAATCTCAGGTAAATGAAGGAGAAGAAAACGTACAGGTCATGACATTTGGGCAACCTCGTATTGGGAATGCTGATTTTGCATCTTATTACAGTTCGCTTGTGCCTAATACCTTCAGAATCACACATGACAGAGATATAGTCCCTCATCTTCCTCCTTACTTTTATTATTTCCCTCAGAAAACATACCACCACTTCCCAACAGAGGTAAACAAAAGTCTTTTACTATTTTGATCTTAGTTGTTCTCAGCGTTTGATTTTTATACAAAATTTGGTAATAGTGTGTGTTTTGGGGTTGCAGGTGTGGGTGAGAGACCTTAGTGTTTTGAAACTTGTTCGTTTTGGTGTTGAGAAAGTTTGTGACAACACCGGTGAAGATCCTACATGCTGCAGGTAACTAACTTGTTTCATGTTTTGACTCTGATACATGAGATTTTTTTTTACAGCATAACTTATGTTGTTGGCTTTTTGTTGTTTTAGATCGGTAATGGGAATTAGCATATCAGACCATTTAAGGTACTTTGGGGTAGATATGATGTGTGAGACATGGAGACAATGCAACATTGTGATGATGAGTGCTGAGATGGAGAGTTACAGCAGGAAAGATTCAAAGGGTAACATATTCCTGTCTCAGACAGTTCCTTCCACTGAAACCATCCAAAACAGGAGTCTCTAGTCTATAGGAGGAGCTGGTTGATTCTGATTGCTTGAAAGGGTGAGGTTGTGAGATCTCTAAATGTGGAGTAGGAAGGAGGGTTCTTTGATTCTTTTGTGGTCTTGAAAAATTAGTGTACATATATTAATCAAGACTTTGTAAATGGGTTGATAAGGAAAAGAAAAAACATGTAAAAAATCACATAGAAATTTGGATTCAAGTATGTATATATATATATGTGAATGAATATCAAAATTACATTGCTCTGTTATTCTTTCAGATACTAATATTGCTACTCTCCCTCGCATATTTGATTTTATTTATAATTTACCCCAAGAATTTTTCTTTTATTATGATCCTTCGTAGGAGATTAAGTAATTTATCAACAAAACAAGAGAAAACCAAACAACTTTAAGTCATCGCTAGTTAATAACCGAAACCATATACCTTATTCATTCATCAAGAACCAAACAAACATACATGTATAAAAAGTATCTGAAGTAATCTTTTGTTGTAGAGTTGTTATGATCTGATTCTGATATATAGATGGTTTGGTCAACGGCACCGGACAACACGAACGGCTGTACGGCGTTCGTTGGAAGTGCAGACAGCCATGACAGAGAGGCAGACGACCAGCATGATGATGAGATGTAGTAGTAAATTCGAACCATCGTCGTCACCACCACCACCACTACAACATGAAGACATGCACATCCCACCCATTCTTCTTTGTGAGTTTTAAGATCCGATGATGAGTCCACGGAAAGAAGAGATGATAATGAAGAGGAGATGAATTGGCAGATGAGAAGTGTCTGTCTTTAATGAGTTTTTGATTGGTTAGTTGTTTTTAAAAATGGTATTTGTTGGACTTGATTCAGCCAACTTCGTGTTTTAAATAATGAATACTAGGTGTTTTGCCCGCACATGCGGGCTTAATTATCTTTAAATTTATTAATTAATTAATATTTATTTATGTGTTTTATGTTTTTGCAATTTTTTTATTAAATATATTTTCTGGATAACAACACAATATATATAGGAATTATATTTTTATTTTAAATATATATTTAGATTATGGATAATTCTTATCATTATTATTAATTTAAATTATTTATCTAATCAAATAAATATTAAATTCGTTTTTATTATTGGCTGATTTATATATTTATTCATTAAGGGTAATATCGATATTAACCGCTCTAACTTTTAACGTGAGACCTCCGTTGCGAAAAATCACTTCGCAAATAATAGTATAGATATAAATATGGTTTTGTTCTTTTTTGTTTGTTTGTATTTACCTATTTTGATGGTACGTAGTAGAGTTAAGACATGGTCTCTGGCGTCAATGTATAGTTAACTAATGAACATGTTGTAAACTACATACGAAATTACTGGATTAAGTATCTTTCAAACGTTAAATTATGATCAATAGCTTCACTTAAGTTTATTCGTTAGAAGTAATGGACTATGAAATTTGTGCAATGTGTAGCTTTTGTAACTTGAGGGTAGTTAACTCTGAGTATGTAACAGTGCTACTTATAACAACAAGGGCGTTTGGTCTAGTGGTATGATTCTCGCTTTGGGTGCGAGAGGTCCCGAGTTCGATTCTCGGAACGCCCCTTTTTTACACTTTTAGGGCCGTTAAATTGTGAAGGTCTGAATCAATATTTTATCAACTACATATCATAAACTTGCAAAAGCTTTTTAAGCCTGGAGACGTAACTGATCTCATTCACAAGAGCTCTTTCAATTGATGTATTACACATATTCATTTGTAATTCCACAAAACTCTTTGTCTCTTCATACAAGAAGTACAAAGAACCCATATACATCTACAGGTCTTACTGTTTTAGATGAATCTTTCTATCCAGCAACATACACTTTCATATACAGGCTTTCAAGGGAGAAACAGAAAGGAACTACAAAAAGGGAAGAGACTTTCTTTAAACTAAGTTCCTGTTCTGTGGAACTCGCACAAGCCGAGAAGAATAGCAAAGGTACAGCACGTTTAAACACATTGCCATCCCGAAACCAAGAATCCCCGCGAAAAGCATTGAGTAGACAACCGGTACACCAAACTGAAACAAATGATCATTACCATAAGAACTTGTTCTCAATGTATGACTGAGATTAGGTGTTTTAAGTAGCATTTACTTACTGTAACATATAACAGATGAACAAGCAAAGCCACTAGTGCAAACTCAAGAGCTGCGTATGTCCACATGTATTCTCTAATAGCTGCAAGTATGGGATAATAACAATTAATAATACAAGAGTTGTGTCATGGATGGATAAAAAATGGAGCAGTATTATACCGAGGACGACGGCAAATGTTGAGGCTAAGAGAGCTAAGGTGAATGAAAATGGCGCTGCCACAAAGATAGCTTGTGATTTCAAGTCACGAATCTACAGAACATATAAAAGACCCATGTGATTTTATGTAATCTTTGTAATGAACGATAAAATCTTTATAATGAAAGACCACAAAAGTCAGTGTTTAAGGACATCTCAGGGGAAGAAAAGAAGCACTACCAGTAAATGTTCAAGGAAGAAGAAGTAGCAGATTGTGCTGATGAGTACAAGCACTACAAACTCTTGCCCTACACTGCAACATTTAAATCAATCTTCAATTGTTAAGTGTTTCTGAAAAGGATAAGATCATATTTTGAGAGCGTTCTAGATATTACCTAATGTTTTGTTGCTGTGGATTCTGCTGAGTGAGTTCACGTCTAGTGGTAAGTTGATTGATTGTTGGGACACGAAGCAGAATCACTGGTAAGTTTCTGACTTCTTGTCTGCAAACATCGCAGATTCTCGTTCCTTTTGTACTAAACCACTTAACAGCACAGTGCTCATGAACGAGCCTGAGGTCACCTTTGCAACTGCATTCCATTTTCAGCGTGTTACCTTCCTCGCACACGTCAAGACAAATCCTGCACACAGCTTCTTCTTCAGGGATCTCTTCTTCCGTTTCTTCAGCAGGAACGGGAGTGATCTCATCTGCTAATGAAACACACACAAGAAAGAAGGTACACATAAGTGAAAACTTTCGTTTCTATAGACCAATACTTCAATTCTAATTTTACCACAAATTTGATACCACATTTTAAATTTACTTTTAAATGATAACTATTTTCATAAATACCTTTAAGTTTGTGATGGAAAAAATCTAAACTAGCCTTTCATAAATGATTTATAAAATTCTATAAACCCAACCTCATCTCTAACTTGAGTTATTTCCAGCAATTTCTTTATTGATATCACTTCTTAAAAAATCAATCTGTTCCTCATATCAACATTCAACACTCATCATTCCCATGAATCCAACAAAAAATAAAGGAAAGTTAGTGTACATACCACCACCACTAGCTTCATTAGAAACGTGTTGTTTGTTGTTGTTGTTGTCAAAAGAGACAGCTCGTACAATGACTTTGTTTCTCCCAGGCATAGACAATGATCTTGAAACTGATGCACCATCTCTCTGCATCAAAACACACTCCAACATTTTTACTTTGATAGTAAGAAAAATCAAATTTTTTTTTTTGGCACAATACTCACATTAGATGTAGATTTGTCAGTGTGCACCAGAGGTGAAGCAGGTGGTGTAGATGTAGTCAGAGTCAACTTAGCAGCAGCATTTGTAGAAGAAGGAAGTGACAAACATCTTTTCCAATAAGGAGAAGATGCAATGGAGGTATTAGGCTTTTCAGTGACTTCTGAAACAGTTGGACTAAGTAGCAATCTCTTCTCATAGTTTGGTAAAGAAGCTTTCCTTTTCAGACTCATGTTTCTCAAGATTCCTATAGGCATAGGGTTGGGTAGTTTGTGGGCTGAAGGATCTAATTGGGTTCCATTTTGTTGAGATCTGGAGACATTTTCTTCAACCTGATTGATTAGATAAAGATTCTCAGACTGATAAAAAAGCAAATCTTGTTTTTAGTTGGTTTTGAAACCAAGATTTGGAGTATACCTGAGAAGAAGGAGGAGATTCTTTAGCGGATTCTTGTTGCATCGTAATCGTCGAGCTGATCAAAAACCAGAAGACCAAGTGATTCAATCAGTTTTTCCGCTGACGTATAGATTCTGAGCCAGCGAGAGACGCAATCTTGTATAAAGGATTGAAAGTGTTGTCCTTTTTTTTTCTCTTTTTGTTTTCTTCTGTAATAAACTAAATGACTTAATCGATGACTAAAAGGACTTTACTTGTGCTTCTGTCTCAAGGAAGACGTCATCTCTAAATTCTTTACCCTTTTTGAAGATTTATTTATTTATTTATTTATGTTAAAGTTACTCTGTTTTGACTTTTGGCAGTTCATTATATGAGTACCTACCTGGAAATGAACCCATGTTTCAAATCTCATGGTTTGGCTCGAATGTGTGCTTCTATGATCTCCAACCCCACTCCAGAGATGCCCAAACCTAAACCATCGAATCTGTTGATATCAAGAGCCAATAGAAGCAACGGAACTGAAAGCTGTTAGATACGTTCTAGAGAACTCAACAACATTCTCAGGAAGATTGTTGTCGGAAAAAAAAACACGAGCCTGGTCTCCTGAAACAACTGTTGTAATCTCCAAGGTGCTCTAGGTTATGTAATTTTTCTTTGACATCAAGATGCTTACCCACTGCTGAACTTGGATTATTATTTGAGTATCAGTGTATTGCTAAAACAATGATATGTTTCGCATAATGTAAATGTAAACTATGATCTGATGCAGACTTACACTTAGACCATCAAAGAGACCCCACTTTCTTTATGATTAATAAGTGTTAACTACTAGCAGAGAGATTTGTTCTGGGGATCTTCGAAAGTAATGAAACACACACACACAAAAAGAATCACTTCATTTTCTGTTCAGTGAAGAGAACATGGCGGTTAACACGAGGATCGTACTTGCGGAACTCAAGCTTCTCAAGAAGTCCTTTGCTACTCTTCCTCTTCACATAAAAGAATCCTGTTCCAGCTGCGGAGACTAGACGGATGAACATGAACGTCTTCTTCCTCTTGTCCCCCATTTTCTTTTTCCTCACTTCAATACACTAAACCAGTGAAAAGATCACTAAAGAGTCAAAGATCAAATTCTCATTTTCAATATTTGTATCATCATGCGACCTTAGAAACTTAAAGAACAAAAGTGCAACCACAAACATTTTCATAGATTTTGAAGTAGATCCATAAATTTGAGCAGTATAATTTACAGACTGTAACAGGAGATCAAGCACAGAGGTGGAGCACAAGAAACATTACCTATGGCAGACGGTTACGAGACGGCGACGATAGGACGGCTGAGAGGAATCGGGAGAGAGATGAATAAGTAAAAAGGCCTTATAAAGCTATACGGCCCATTTAAATAATAATAATAGGCCCAATGTGACCCATCTTCTCTGAGCAGCTCTCATCAGGTTCTCTGTTCTCTCCTCTCTCTGTGTTCAGTGGAGAACGATCCTGAGAACGTTTAGATATAGGTTTAAGATGTATGTCTGAGAACGTTGCGTTTCAAATGCAAGAAGAATGATCCAAACCCTGAGAAATGTCTCGACAAGCAGGGTCGTGATCACTCGCTGCATCCTTGGATCGAAAGGGCTGATATTTCTATTGGAATACATTAAACATCACGATGTCAAACATATCTTGAAACAGCACGCAGTTTCTACTGATGCACACAAAACAACACAACGTTATTTAGGAAAAAAAATAGTTTGGTCCTTCCTAGATCAACATTTTTAAAAACTTCAAAATATTCAAAACTTATAAATACAGTTTTCAACTGATAGATTTAAACAAACTAATTATGTGTACAATTTTTTTTTTTGAAAAAAACTAAATTTAATAACTCAAATTCATGTTTAAAAATTGCCCACTCGCACAACGCGCGTGAAAACACCAACGCGCTCGATTTACTTATAGTAGCCTTTGGGATCTGTTTGATTTTAAAAGCAGCGCGTTTTAGCACAAAACGACGCCGTTCCTCCCTTATCTGTACGACACCGTTCCGTCCTCTCAAAGTGTGTTCCCATTTTTTTTTTAACTTTTCTTTTTCTTTTTTGCTTTGCGATTAGATTGGATTTTAACTTTTATCTTCTCTGTTCGGATTCAGTCTCAGGTAATTCGAATTTGTGAGCTATGTCGGGTGCAGTGGATGCTACCGGAACCCGATACCTACTTCTGCTGTGTTGACTGCCTCGGCGAAGCATATAGGTCTAAGATGCATGTCTGAGAACGTTGCGTTTCTCAAATGCAAGAAATGTAGTTAAAGGTAATGAGTATGAATTGGTGATGATAGCTCTCTACTTCACTATTGAGCAAAGCAAGTAGTTAAAGGTTTTCCCCTAGATAAGCAATCAAATCTTTTTTTTTTTTTTTTTCATAGAGCTCTAGTAGTCTTAACACGGTAAAGATGAACTAATTGTTAAGAGTCTAAAAGAGCTATCTGTGCCATGCATTTTAAGCATTATGATACCCTTGAAACTGGCACAAACCAAGTAATAGAGTAACCATCTTTTTCACATAGTAGAGGCAGATTCATACCATACTTCTGCTCGCAACTTCTCATTGTTTATGTAGGACTCAGTTTTGATGTTTAGTTGTTTGCTCTTGTACAATAATACAAAGCTGTAGTAACAAGAAGACTTTTAACCTATCAATCATGTTGTATAAAAGTATTATCATTTCTGCATCATTTGGACATTGTATTGTACCTCTCTCTGGTAAATCATTAGTTTTCCTGATGGATTGATGAATGTTGCAGGCTCAAGGATCTTCACTAGAAATGCCAAAAGGAAATGGATGACTACGTTGGTTGTATGTATTACTACATAAACGAGTTTGATCTCTGTAGGAAAGAGCAAGAAGCCTTCGAGAAAGTCTGTCCCCTGAAATGAAAATCACAAGTTATCATCATGTTTTAGTTTGTAATCTCCTAATAAAGATTCATTTTTTGAACGAGCTTTACACTCCCTTGACTTTGTTCTTGTTATAACCTCATTTTCCTCATCAACTTCTCAGAGACAGCCAAATGACTCAGTTTCCATTGTTTGATGGTTTTTTAATCAGCACAGACTGGATTTCCCGAGGCATAAGCTGTTTTATGAGCTTCTCTTTTGCCACACTTGACAGTTGAAAACTAGTGTTGATAACATCTTCATTCAGTTTTATCCAGTCTTAAGAGGATACTGTTAGGCTTTATATGGGCCTAAAGCCCACAAGGGGACTTAAATAATTGACTCGTCTCTTGACTCGTCCGGGTCATCGAACTTCCAAAACTCGCTCATCTAATTAAAACCCTCGGCAAAACCTCCCTCGCTTGTCTTCTCCACCATTTAAACCACCGGAAAACACGAAATGTTCGCCGTTTCACCGTCCTACTTCTCGCCGACATCACTTTCTTCAGTGAGTTCCGCTTCTACTCGTATCATTTATTCTTTTTATTTTTAACGGCCGATTAATGTTTTATCTCTCTTCGGCTCTTATAGACCCGAAGTAGTCAACCTCAAGCTCCTCGGAAATTAACGGTGGTGAGAGCAGGAGGTAAGAGGATACTATACGGTAAAGAAAGCAGAGAGGCTCTACAAGCCGGCATCGATAAATTAGCTGATGCTGTTTCCATCACTTTAGGCCCTAGAGGTGAGTCATCATGATTTTAAAATTTCTCTTCCTGAAATTTGGTTGAACCGGAATTTGAAATCGGTTAAGGTGAATTTAAATTTTGATTATGAGCTAACCAACCAACGCCTGCTTAGAGATCTCTTAAATTGATAATTTTTGAAACGCAGGGCGGAATGTAGTGTTGGCTGAGAAAGATACAATCAAAGTGATTAACGATGGTGTCACCATTGCTAAATCCATTGAGCTGTCTGACACTATTGAGAACGCTGGTGCTACACTTATCCAAGAGGTTATATAAATTCATTTAATGGTGGCTAAAATGATTACCTTCTCTTTGTTAGTTTCGAGCTTGAAAGAAATATTTTACTCCCTCTGTTTCAATATAATCTATGTTTTAGAGTTTTCACATATTAAGAAAACATGTTAATAAATATATTGGTTTTTGTGATTAACTATTTCTTATAATTTTTATCCAATCAAAATTCAGTAAACAAAATCAATGTCAATGAAATTTACAATTTACTTTTATTATATGCATTGAAAATGTGAAATATATAACGTTTAGAAACAAAATATTTTTTTAAAACATAGATTATATTGAAACAGAGGGAGTAATAAGTACGCTGAGACTGGTTTAGCTTCTATGTTCTTTTGTAGGTTGCGATTAAGATGAATGAATCAGCAGGTGATGGGACGACCACTGCAATCATTTTAGCAAGAGAAATGATCAAAGCTGGCTCTTTGGCTATTGCTTTTGGAGCTAATGCTGTTTCGGTTAAGAATGGAATGAACAAGACTGTTAAGGAGTTGGTTAGAGTGTTGCAGATGAAAAGCATTCCTGTTAAAGGGAAGAGTGATGTTAAAGGTTTCTTACTTACTACTTATTAGTGCTGTATCTAAGTTTTGATCGTTTGAGATAAAATTCACAAGAGATTTGTTGTGTGTTTTTGTAGCTGTGGCTTTAATCTCTGCTGGAAATGATGAATTTGTGGGGGATTTGATTGCTGAAACTGTGGAAAAGATTGGTCCTGATGGGGTCATCTCCATTGAAACATCTTCCTCATCAGAAACATCTGTTATAGTTGAGGAAGGCTTGAAGGTTAGTTTTAAAAAAAAGCCTCACACTTAGTTTAAGATGATCAAAACAATTGAGTTTTTTCGATTAATTAGGAATGTTTTCTTTTTGTACAGTTTGACAAGGGATATATGTCGCCTCATTTCATCACGAACCAAGAGAAGTCTATAGTGGAATTCGATAAAGCTAAAATCCTTGTGACGGATCAGAAAATCACTTCAGCCAAAGAGTTAGTTCCTTTACTGGAGAAGACTTCGCAGCTGAGTGTTCCGCTCCTTATAATCGCAGAAGATATCTCAGCGGAAGTGTTGGAGATACTGGTGGTGAATAAGAAGCAGGGTTTGATCAACGTTGCTGTTGTGAAATGTCCTGGAATGTTGGATGGGAAAAAGGCTTTGCTACAAGACATTGCACTCATGACAGGTTTTTTCTCTTTCTCATTTTAGGTTTCTTACTGACAAGTCTCAGTTGCTGACATGCCAAATGATGTAAATACAGGAGCTGATTATCTTGCCGGAGATTTAGGCATGAGTCTAATGGAGGCAACTTCAGATCAGTTGGGTGTTGCTAGGAAAGTAACAATCACAGCTAACTCAACAACTATAGTCGCAGACCCTTCAACTAAACCGGAGATTCAGGCTAGAATAGCTCAGATGAAGAAGGATCTAGCTGTGATAGATAATTCATATCTTTCAGAAAAAGTCGCAGAGAGAATAGCTAAGCTCTCCGGAGGCGTCGCTGTAATAAAGGTCCGGTTGTATAATAAACCTTCTTTGCTTATAATATACTGAGACAAGAAAACTATTTGGCTCGTGATCTTTCTTTTTTTTTAAAAGCATCAGCTTAACTCGGTGTCGTTTCAGGTGGGAGGTCACACTGAAACAGAACTTGAGGACAGGAAACTTAGAATAGAAGACGCGAAGAACGCAACGTTTGCAGCCATGAGAGAAGGTATAGTACCAGGTGGTGGTGCAACGTATGTCCATCTTTTAGATGAGATTCCGAGAATCAAGAAGAATCTAATGGAAGATTTATATGAACAAATAGGTGCAGATATAGTGGCAACGGTATGAAACCTGTTTTTGTAAACCTTCCTGAAAGACCCTTCAAAAGTTATAATCACTGTGTGTGTTTTGCAGGCGCTCACGGCACCTGCAATGGTCATAGCAACCAATGCTGGGGTCGATGGATCAGTTGTGGTGGAGAAAACTAGAGAACTCGAATGGAGAAGCGGTTACAACGCAATGTCTGGGAGATATGAGGATCTTCTAAACGCTGGAGTCGCGGATCCTTGTAAAGTTTCAAGATTCGCCCTGCAAAACGCGGTTTCTGTTG